GAATCACCATGCTCCTTTAATGAAAACCAAACATTAGTGAGAAAATTCCAAAGCAAATTCACACATTGGATAGAGCTTTAGTAGATAAATAGGGAAAAGCTTTGAAACTAAAGACGTGGTATAAGTCGGCCCACTAGGAGGAACAACGACCTCAAACGTTGCTCAGCTTTGACAGGGCTGTAGCGATATCGATAGTTTTCAATTTACAGTAAGTTAGAAAGTCTCTGATTTGTGATTGGATTTGGAAAGGTTCAACTCAAAATGAAAGACAAATAAATAAAACATTTTGCATCGGTTTCTCGTTTACTTTTCATAAAGCAGTCAAAACTTTTTCAAATAAACGTAATATGCAAATAGCGTTACCAACTAAATACCATTAAAGGTATTTTAATTAAATGGCTTAAATTCTACGGTTTTCATAAAATATATTTTTTTATATAATTATATAATTTAATAAAATAAGTAATCATATAAAACCAGTCTCAAATGAATAACCGAGCGTGCAATAAAATATAGTACAATGCTTTATTACAGCAAAATTACAATGGCATTGATCCCTCTCCGGCCCGCGCCGTCCACTGGGACTCATAGGATTCCACAATAATTAATTGCTTTCAGATAAGAGCACGTTATAATTATGTGGATGCTATCAAAGATCGCAATAATGCGATGCCTTTATGAAATGGTTTTAAAATTACAATGTAATTACCAAATCGAGGCTAATGAATGAATGAAATAATGTATTTCCATTATACGTAAAGTGTTGTTATATTTTTAAAACAAAATCTTTTTAGAAAAACTTTATTTAATCTTAGAGTGTTTGTTTTGTTTCACAAAAGGCCTAATAATACGTATAAATACTAATTCAGATTGGAAAAAAACTTGTATTATTTGACTCAAATATAAAACGTTTATAATATTGAACATCGATAAATCAAATCTAAAACAAGTTACATCACTACGTTTAGTCGAAGCACTCAGCTAAGCCTCGTCTATTGTCAAAGACCTAATTTTAAAATAGCTTCACGCTAATGATGGTAATATACAGTATGATGTTTTATCTACTATTACAGTTGAAAACTAAAGCCACTGACACACAGTCGGCATGAGAGGGGCACGAAACGACAAGCGGCATTCGTTTTTAACCGATTTCAATAAAAAGGAGGAAGTTCTCAATTCGACGGTATGTTTAAAATTGGAGCGACGATAGCCAAACGGTGATGATGTCAGACTTCCCGACTCGTGATCCAAGGAACGTGAGTTCGATCCCCGCCGTGCCTCGACCATTGTCGTGAACCCACTAAAAACACAGGCACATTTAGCTTACCACGAGGGGTTAAGTTTCAGGTGAGATACAGGCCAAGAGCTTCCTCGTTGTGTATAAAAAAAAAACTAGTAATTTTACCGCTCGTCATTACAATATGTCTTATTACCTGCTAGAGCGTAGTGTAATATAAGCTTAACACAAATGAAAATAATAATCAATTTGGGCCATCGTCCGCCATTACAGTTCAAAAACATTCAACCATAAACAAAATTGAGTTTCGCGAATGTTTGTAGATGATTTGATTACCGAGAAGGGATGTATATTGTATACCTTTTTGGGCCGTAGCTTTACGACCGACGAAGGTTTACGGTTATGGCGTAGTTCTTATCAATCTCGGTGCCATGTCAAAGTTTGTGTACAACTTAATTTGGGATTGGGTGAAATATTGCGTGTAAAATGAAACTACGAATCCGATTTCTACGCGTTCTGCTCATTATTACGAACATTTTTCACTTGTTTTAAGTTACAAAAGACTATTGTGACATTTTTACATACCTTATTTGATTACCTACTTCTTTTCTGGTCATGAAAAAGAGATTCATGAAATTACTAAAATAAAAATAAAATAAATTACACTAAATTGATGTAGGGTTGTACCTTAGAGCAGGACACATGCTGAGCGGTTGCCAATTCGGTTCACAATAATTTTGTACTTTCAAACTGTTTCATTTAATGTTATGAACCGAGTAAACACTTTTCTTTCTTTCCATCATTATAGCTTGTGTAGGATTACGCACGCACTATTAATCCCCGTCTCCACACTCCAACATACGCCCGTATTCACAAACATTAATACGAGGTCTCACAGTGCGCGTGGACGCACATGGTCACACACGAACCAATCACAGAGCTCTATTCAACGCTGCGCGTTGAATTTGCTGCTTCACTTGAGCAAGTATCGTTTGGGAATATGGGTGATAAGATTAATGTTACTGAAATCCTGAATATTAATTTGTAATCGACAAACGTGGTATTTATTTACACGTTTCTCTTTTATTTTCATATAAAAAGAAAACAAGGTAAAATCAAAGATTTAAAATACTTCTTCATAATACATCAGGTCAAAGTTGGCTCGCATGAAATACGTCACCAAGAGCACCACCTAGGGAATTCTTTGTTTTTATTTTATACTCGTATGAAAGCAGCAGGCTGACACAAACATAAACTGAACTCTGATCACTTTCCTGGAATCGTAATTTTTCTGCTTTCCCAGAAATAAACAAACTGGATCTAAGCAATTTCACGTTGACAGATAGGTATGACAACGTAAAATTGTAAACTTCGTCAGTTTCTAATATAACGCGTAAAATTTTAAACTAACAGTGGGTTAGATTAGGTTAGATTGTAATCTAACTACGTGAGATTATAATGTGACGGAATCCACTATTTTACGGTGATATCAAAGCGCGATGACTAACTGCTTTTTAGTCGTTTCTAAAGCAAACATTAAAACAGTTTTAAAAATGCATGAAGCGGTAAAGTTGAGAGTAATGAATTCCCCATTTTTCAATTACAAGAGCCGGGATCAAACAGATTGCGATCGTGAATATTCTATTCCAATCGCGTTAATCTCCTATTGTTCGGGGCTTACAGGTCGATTGCTATGCGCCCACTATCGACTTTTGAAATCCATTCGATTCTATCGTGGTAATCTAAAATCCATATTAGAATTTACGTAATTGTTTTATTTAAAGAAATTAATATTTATGAGGCATAGACACGAAAAATAAGCTGCAATTGACGTTGACGAAATAATAATTATTAGAAAGTTCGTAAAAATAAAACTCAGATTTTATCAGTGCCTGGGATTTACAATTACTTTAGTTGAAAATGTTTTGTTAGTCAACTTCTGTCGAAATATGATGACGATGTCAAAGGAGTACATCATTAAATAATATGTTTAATAATCGTCAACGAATGGAATTATTATTCATCAAGAGTCAAATAGATGGAGACACAATCCTCAACTTTAACGAACTGACTAGGGTGAAGATCGGTCCTCGTGGTTTCTGATACGAGATAATAGATATGTCATTACATAGTCAAACAAACCCGTGCCATTAGAAAAGTTGTCTTATTATTCTCATGCAAATAATCCTCCAAATTCGTTCCAGCCTACTCCTGTTAATACTCGTGTATTAGAATTTCTGGGCATAATCGTTTCCAATTTCCCCTTCACTTTGGGTTTTAATCATAAACATAAATATAAAGAGGTATTGTTGTTTTCCTGTTTCCCCCAAGGCCCGTAGTTCAGAACAATCTAAGTTTAATGTTTTGAATGATTAGCCATTTATGTAAATTAATGATAGCTTTGGGACGGACAATGAGAATATTCGAGACCAAATTGGAATTGTTGAATAGACTGGAATACAATAGATGGAGGTAAAGTAGGTCTGTTACCGGGTAAGGATACAAATAAACCAATAAACGTGAGTTATAAAAGACAGGATTCTGAGCTTCACCTATTTTTGGCACCTGTGTTAAATACAGTGGCTAATGCAACCTCTATGGAGGAGGAAGATAGTATGCAGGTGAGCTAGGAAGCTACTAGAACGAACTGTCGCGTATGCAAGTATGACACAAACTAGCTCGCTTGGGACACAATGGATCCCACGCGACTAATTAAAGTTTTATTCATAATACACAATATTATGGTCCTTCTACAGACTTTGTTCGGTACCTATGTCGACCGATTTTCAAGCTAGGTAAGCTTTCTGATTCCATTGTTACAGTTTACAGCAATCTTCTATAAAATACGGTTTGAAGTAATAGGTAGGTATCACATTTTCGTGGTCAAAGGCTGTAATGAATTGATAATGAAATTCTCAGTGCTAAATGCGTGAAATCAAGTGATGGAACGGAATTCGAGTGCCAATAAATAGAATTTCATTGACTGCTTAATTGAGTGTGCGGTAGAATAATAATTTTTAATGACGACACTTGTTCACTACGTTATTTGATTTCAATGGAAAACATTTTTCAGATGACTAATTTAGGGAAAATACTAAGAAGGAGCTTGTATTACTCTGAAGATGAAAGATACTGACGAAGAAAGACATTGCTTCAAAATTCATTACGCTTCAATAAATCTGAAATATAACGTGCCAATATTTTGATCATCTCAATTTTGAAATAGGAAGGCGTTCTTTTATTTCGCGAGCTTCTCAAATGTCTGGAATTCCAATAATAACAGCCATCCTTTCAATATGATCTCGAGCTAGTAAAATGCTGGCTGTTTTTACAACGAATACCGGGAATTTTGAAATTTTTGAGTAATTTAGGTTATCAAAGTAAAAACAAAATATATTTTATTAAACACTGGAAAGCAACGACAAAGTGTCACTTAGGCTTAGCACACTTACTTTAGGGCACATTAGTAAAACTTAGGTATAGACGATTTATTTTAATGACATCGCCAGTACTCTTTCAGGAATGTATCATAAAAAGATTTTAATATTTAATTGGATCAGAAATAAGTATTCTAAGCAGCCAACTGAAATTTTTTGTCGATGTCAGTGTTCCTAAATATAGCCCAAGGCCTTCAAGGCACTTCTAACAGAAAATAAAAATATCCCGGGCGTTCCATGTGTAGTTCCATTTTTGGTCTCATTTCTACCTTTTAAGCAAGATTGCTTTCAATATAACAAAACCTAACCCTCTCTTTCTTTCACAGGTTTCCTCAACCCTCGCTCGGACGAATTCCCGCGGTCCCCAGCGAACTACGGTCTCATGGACCAGATAGCAGCGTTACACTGGATCAAAGAGAACGTGGCGGTCTTTGGCGGAGACCCGACCAATGTCACATTGATGGGGCACGGCACTGGCGCTGCCTGCGTGCACTTCTTGCTGACGTCACTGGCAGTGCCCGAAGGTAAGCTACTCTTAGCCAGTTTCAAACGCTCCAGTCATAGTTTAAGGAGCCAGTTTATTTGTATTACATTGGATCAAGGAGAACGTGGCGGTCTTTGGCGGAGACCCGACCATTGTGATATGGATGGGGCACGGCACTGGCGCTGCCTGCGTGCACTTCTTGCTGACGTCACTGGCAGTGCCTGAAGATAAATGATAATTAACTTTGGACCAGGTACAAAGGGTCCAGTTTAAGTGAGCGAAGGCAGAAACAATGACATCATCTTTCAGTACAATGTGTTAAGGCAGTTTTCTTTCCTCGTCGTTTTGACTTACGTAGGTTTTAAGTATTGAACGTACTGCGGCGAAGAACCACGATAACACGAGATTAGTAGAGGTTGATATTTTGATTTTTTATATCGTGTTAGCATACTGTATTTATATCATACATTGGAATGACATATACGCTAAAATATTTACGTTGAATATGTGTTTTTCTCGTCTACACAATAAACTTTATTAAAGGAGCATAAAAACTACAATTTCCGTAAGTTTTTACTTAACAAATACACAATAATGATGAATAATGTAGACGTAAACAGCAAGCCCTATCTGTGTCACAAACGATTGTCTTAACGATTACTTGTAGAGACACGCGAGGACTCCAGCCTTTAATATTCATGAGGCAGCTAATCATATTCATGTAGGTACCCTACTTTCAAATACCTAAGAGCAAAAACGTTTGTTAGTAAACTGTAAAATATTAGGCGGCTTTTAGAAAATAAAGGACGTAGCTGCTCATTTATCCACTCGGAAAGAGATCGTATCCGTATCAGCTCGAGGCGGTCAGTATTCTTAAGAGTAGGCGCACACCGTTGATTTTTAGTTGGCCGACAGTTGTGCCCGATTTTAAATTGTATGAAGAATCAGCCAAATCGAATTGGCGTAGTGTGCGCACTCCCATACATGCCCATACTGATCAACTGCCCAACTAAACTATCGGCCGACGGTGTGCGCCTACTCTTAGAGCGCGCGAATGGCGATGACAGCTCGCAAAAGGCGATACAGTTTTTTTTAAAGATTATACAAATTACTAATAGTCCCGTTAGCCCTTCGTGTTAAGCCACAGGTTAAGCTTAATAAGCTTGTGTTACGAGTGGGCTCACCACAATAGTCGAGCGGCGGTGGGACTGACTGTACATTTTTGTTTCAAAATGGTACCTTTCACAACTGTATAAAATGCCACAGTGTTTAACTTGTTGTGCCTTCATCCGTATATAGCTGAAAATCAGTGGTTTGTTTTAAGTAAACCAATTACTGAGCTATTGCCGTTTTGCATTGCTGCGACACACATTTCTGTATTAAGTGTGTACCTATATTGTATGTCATAATGATTTTTTTTTTCTTTTTATATCTGTCTTACCATACCATGTCATATTGTCCTGAGGGTACTATTTTGTCCTACTTTTGGTACTTTCTGTTTGTAATGTGTGTTTCTGTTATGCAAATAAACGTTTTATCTATCTATCTATCTACTAGGGTTTCGGAATAATAGGCATAAATGTTAACCCGTAACGTTACTTTGGTAGAAATGATTATGCCAAAGCAAACTCTATTAACAGGGCCAACTCCGTTATTAATTCAAGCATTGTTTAACGTTTGCTTTTATTTGTGTTAAAATTTTTAGCGCCATTAAATTATATTACATCGTTGCTTTTCGAACTTCAAATCAAAGAATATTGGTTTAGGTCCGCTTAAACATTCTTTGTGTATCAAAGATTGAAGTTACTTTGAATATTAATCAGACTAAGGTGCGTGAACGGAACTCAATACTCAGTCAACCATAGATTGAGGCTTTTGATGGTTGATTTGCATATTTAGACCAATAGGCTAGTTTCCTAAAAAAAATTTTTTTGTCCGTCATGTTTAATATCAAAAAATATTGGACACATATTTTTATTTGTCAATATAAACAAATAATTACATACATAGTTATGGTGCGTTGAAGTTCCGCACGACGCACGTCACAACGTGCGGCACTTTTATGCACGCATTGACGTCACGGGCCTCTTCTTATGAACTTTGGCGCGCTTTATCTCTTTCAATTTTCATTAGTTTGAAAAAGTGAAAAATACGTGTAGAGTATTTTTTGATAAGTTAACTGACGGACTAATTAAAACTCTTGCTTTTTGACCCAGGAAACATCCCTATTACAGACTTGAATTACCTATTTTATTTTAGATTCTGAAAAGTATCGTTTCATAACACGGATCTATAAGTTCTAGCGTTTAACCGAGTCAGTGCCTGGTGTATGGTGACGAGAGGGTATTTTTGTAACGGTCAAACGTCAGCGAGACTTTTGTTCTCCTTGAGACTTGTATCACAAAATGTACTCTGTCATGTCATAACATGTCAATGTAGGGAAGACCGAGGAGAGTTGAGACATTATATTTTTTTGGAACTTTTTTTTTAATCCATAACGAGGAAGCTCTTGGTCTGTATCTCACCTGATGGTAAGTGATGATCAGGCCGAAGGTGAAAACGAGCTTCACCCGGATTTATTAACTAGGAACTAGCGAGCTCGTAACAGTGCGCGCTTTTTAGTTCAAGTCTCGAGCTAACAACGTGCTGTTGCGAGCTTGCTGATAGTTAATAAGTTCCAAAAAAATCGTCAATGTCTCAACTCTCCTCGGTCTCCCCTACCCCTCCCGTGTCGCTCTCATTCCTCAGGCATTGACTCGTGTTAAAAACGATGGAGTGGACTGTATTAGATGGATAGGCCTGCCGGTGGTGATTATAGGTATGCTAGAAGCAAGGAAACACCAAAAAGGGCCAAAACAGTAGGTATATTGCTCAATACATTAGAACACGAGAGTAGAAAAGCCACTTCAAAAATCCAAAAACAATATTAAAAAAAAGTATAAAACCATAAACAATATCAAAAAAGGATTGCTGGCCAAACTGCCAGCAACAACTCGGTTATGTGCTATCTATAAGTAATGTTAGTTGTAGTCCAGGCACAAGCTTTGCTTAATTAACTTAGAGCTAGGTAGGTCTCGTACTAAATAATTCAAAGAATTCATTAATTATTAAGACGCTGCGTCTCTGACTTCAGCCTTGAAAGTTGTCATTTTACCGAGATAATGATACGCAATGGAAACTTACAGGAATATTATCCTAAATACCTGAATTCTAAACAAGAATTTATTTTCTAGTTAAGTAAATTCGGTAGCTGTTCAAATTATCCAACATTATTTTCTTTTCGAAGAAACAAAAGTAGTTAAGACGAAAAAAGTAACATTAAAGGAACTACTTAGTTATCTACATAAATTTCATGTAATTACAGTTTGATTAAACATTAGGTTAGGCATCAGTTATTATTAAGTTTTTATAGAAGTTACACTTTACCTGCAAGGTATTTGAATTTCTAAAAGAAAAACTACATGTTTTCGATTTCCACAACACTCAATTATGTTGTCCTGATTTGCTATACATTTATCGATATTTCAAAGATCTCAGTGTGAAATACGGGAGCTTTCCTGAAACCAATCTTCAGTAGCGTTGCAAAGTATGAATATGCAAACTTGTTTATACTCGCGTAAAGTCCCGTTTCTAGGGGTGGGAAGTAGGAATGATGTGGCTCTTCGATTTATTCACCATTCCCGTTTAGATGAAAATAGAAAAAGTGCGATTTTCGATTAAAATTAGTAAGAGTTTTATGTTTTAATTAGAGCTCTGACACTTGATGTATTTTTCAATACTCTTGTAGGATACTTACGCCATTTAACGTACCTATTCATATGAAATAACACTATGAAAACTACCATGCCCTTTGACAAGCAAATAAATAAAGTAAACCATGAGGTTTACCAGTTCACCATCACAAACTTCACGAGTGTAAAAATCGTAACGAAGGGCTTTTCTATTCCATTTTTTTTACTATACTCGTAAGCTACTTACTTTACTATTGTTACGATGCTCGCATTTGAAATTTTTGATTCCTTTTCATCGCCATTAAGCTATAATCTGCTATAATTTAAAATCGATTAGCTTCTCGCTCGCTCTCTCGCCAGCATAATAGCTTTTGAAGCCTGTATTTCAAATGAGTTCTTTAAAACTGCTGACGTGTACTGACTCGCGGCATTATTGCAAACTGAAAAGTCCGATTACATTCATCATATTGGTGGAAGGTGATTTAATCACGCTTAACTTATTGCTGAAAAACGAATAACTTTTTATTGATACGTAACTAGAACTTGTTTTCTGGTTATTCATTGTAAGCGTCATTCACAAGGTGGACCGACGACCTCATAAAGGTAGCAGGATGTCGCTGGATGCAGACCGCCACCAACCAGCCGTTGTGGAAATCATTGGAAGAGGCCTATGTTCAGCAGTGGACGTATGGCTGAAAAGATGATGATGATGATTGTTGTAAGCGCGTCTTTAATTGATCACTTAGATGTGGATGAATCATGTATTTAGATAATTTAACGATCATATTTCATTTCTAGTAGAAAATACTTAGAATTCAAAGTGTAACTGAATGTAAAGACTGCTCAAGACCGCCTCTATCCAACTGGCAATACCTAACGGCTTATGTGCTCTGAAATGCATCCGTGAGTGGAGCAATGTTAAATCCCGACTACCAACTGGCATTGAATAACTCAAGAAGGAACATAGGGGTTGTTTAAAATTAAAGTTAGATGCTAAGGCTGAGTTGCACCATCTTACTTTAACTTTGACAAACGTCAAAAGTCTGTCAAACTCCATACAAAAAGCGCCGGTTATCGTCATAGTTACCGTTAAAGTTAGGTGTTGCAACTCAGCCTGAGTGTAACGCCCGTATTCACAAACGATGCTTGCTTAAGTGAAGCAGCAAATGGAACGCACAGTGTGCAACGTTGAATAAAGCTCTGTGATTGGTTCGTGTGTCACCCTGTGCGTGCGTCCACGTGCTCTGTGTGACATTATAGTAATGTTTGTAAAAACGGGCGTAAAACTTATGTTATAAGCGGCTTAAAG